TATCTCTTAGAAGCATATAAACTTTCAGTTAAAAGAACTTGATAAACTGCTTATATATTGGTGAACATATTATTTACCTTTTGTTGATATAGTGAATCAAAGTATAAATAACATCTCGAAGCACAAAGGCCCAAGCTCCTCCTAAGCCACTTTTTATATCTTTTAGTAATAAACTAACAAACAGGTGATATATTTTAAGAACTCTATGCTTTTTATACACATTATTTGTCTCAGCTGCTTGCTCACATATGGCTAGAAGAATTTTCTGATAGGAATCCTAGAAAATAAATATACACTTAGTAAGACTTTTAAAATCACATACACTCAGTTATAACACATATTTTACAATACCTAAAATAACAATTTAAATTTAGGTTTCATAGTAAATGCAAAACAGTACAAGAAGATAATTACTATCTTAGAAGAAAGCTATTGCCAATTTGCTTAGGTTTCAGATAGTAAATTATAGTGCATTTTTATAAAAACTAAATATTCTCTTAAGTGTCACAAAATTCCAGCTTTGTAACAAATTTTAGTTAGTATTGAAAAATACATCAATTATAAATTTTGCCAAATGATTGCTTTCCTTTTCAAATTATTCAGATGATTTTTCATTTGCTTACTTTCCTTTTTTTCTTTTTTTTGTGGTTGTGGGCCTTATGCATGTAAAGCAAGCAGTCTACCAACAGAGCTATGTCCCCAGCCCAACTTTCCTTTTTTAATATGTACTTACATAGATGTTCTAGCTGAATAAAGGAATTCTCTCACTAATTATTAGGGCAGAAATGTATACTTACAGGGTTTCTGGAAAGAATTTCTAAAATGCTCTTAAACTTGGTTTTATGACAATTGCTGATATAAGCAAATGTTGCTTTAATCACATGTGATGGAAAATAAGGTGGATTAGGAGCAGGATCCAAATCCCTAAAAAAATAGTTAAAGGGGAAAAAATGCAGTCATAATTTTCAAATTATCAAGAAAAAAAGGTTTTGTTGATAAAGCAGTAAACTTCCAAATGGAAATTTAGGAGCGGGGGGTGCCATGGATTGAACCCAAGGTCGCTTTACCACTGAGACTCTCAGCTCTTTTTTTGTATTTTATTTAGAGACAGGATATCTCTGAGTTGTTTAGAGCCTCACTAAGTTGCTGAGGCTGGCTTTAAACTCTTGATCCTCCTGCCTCAACCTCAGGCTCCTGAGCCTCCCAGGTCACATGTGCCACAGTGATCCGCAGAACTCCCAAATTTTAAATCTATCTATTAAAAAAACCTATACTTTTAATAAAATTAAAAATGACATAGCTAATAAATATTAGAATATCTAAATGCACTTCACCCTGGGACTTAATCTTAACCAATTTACTTAAAATTATTTGCTTAATCTTTTTTATAATTAATGGCAGCTCCACAAATGAGTTTTAGTGTGACCTCATTTCAGGTTTGAGTTAAAGCTCTACTAGTATTATAAAAGCAATAGTATTTTAAGCTATGACAATCTACTAGATAAGCAACATTAATTAGAATGAAATTACATATGTCAAAGTACTTTGCTAGATATTATTACTGTTATGGTCTGGCTCTGGAATGTTCCCCAAAGGCTCACGTGTTGAAGAATTAGTCCCCAATGCAACAAAGTTCAGAGATGGGATTTAGAGAAGGTAATTGTATGATGAGGGCTCTGACCCCATCAGTGTATTAGTAATTTGATGGCATTATTAGGAAGTGGTGAAAACTAAAGAAGGTATACTGAGTTGAAGAAGTGAGTCCTTAAGTATGTGCCCTTGGGGACTCTATTCTTCTTCCTGACCCCTTCCTCTCCCCTCTTTGGCACTGTTCTCCTTCTCCTCTCTGTCTCTTTCTCTATATCCTGGCTGTCATGAGCTGAGCAATTTTCCTCTGCTGTGCCCTTCTGACACCATGTTCTGCTTCACCTCAAGCCAAAAGCAATGAAGCTAGCCTAAAACATACTGAAACCTCAAAAACCATGAGCCTTCTCTTCCCTAAGCTGATTTTATCAGGTGTTTGATTTTTCACATTAACTAACATAATTACTATTTTATATGTTTAGCATGGTAGAACATATTAAAAAATACTAAAGGATATTTTCTTTTTTTTGATACTAAGGATTGAACTCAGGATTAATCACTGAGTAACATCTCATCCCTTTTTAAATTTTTATTTTGGGAAAGGGTCTTGATAAGTTGCTTAGAGCCTAAGTTGCTAAGGGTGGCTTTGAACTTGTGATCTTCTTGCCTCCGCCTCCAGAGAAGCTGGGTAGGTGTGTGCCACTACACAGTAAAGGGTATTTTCAAGCAGTTTCCAGTCAAGTGAGGAAAATAACTTGAACATTCATATGCAACCAAATGGGCTGAAAACTGCTCAGCTCATGACAGCCAGGACTCTGAGAAAGAGGCGGGGAGGAGAAGGAGAACAGGGCCAAATTAAACAGGGCAGCTAAGGAGTATGATTCTGACAGTCAAGGAGCATGATAATCAAAAGGTGCTCTAGAAAGGGAAGTTATTAATAATAAGAGAAATAGCAAACCCATGGAGAAAAAATTTCAAAACACAACATGTGGCATAATGCTCAAATATTACAGAAAAATCAAGAAAAGAAAGTTTATTGGTTCTGCCATCAAAGAGTTCAACTAGAAAGAGTAATAACTGTGGGGAAATTACAGTATAAAAGCTCACAGGTAATTACTTCATATCAGAGGACCATTTTTAAAGAAACCAATTTTTTAAAAAGAGGACATGTCTAAAAACTGAAATAGACATCTGAATTTGTCAATCAATAAAAAAATCGGGGCTGGGACTGTGGCTCAGAGGTAGAGCACTCACCTACCAAGCATGAGGCCTTAGGTTCAATCCTCAACACCACATAAAAATAAAAAATAAAGATATTGTGTCCACCTATAACTAAAAAATAAATATTAAAAAAAAGCATAAGGAATTTGCAAGTTGTGCCTCATTTTCTAAATTTAAAATGTACATACCCTGAAAAGTCACAGGCATCAGTGCTCTGGCTGGCACCAGAATCTGCTGTTTCATGTAACGACATCAATAATTCCACCACAATCTCTGGTAAATTACTAATAAATAAATGATCAATCTGCAAGGACACAAAATTAATTATATTTATTATTTTTTATCTGTAACATTTAAGACAACACAGAGGGCTTACGTTATTCAGACATATAGCTAACTTATCTTTTTCTTCTATTCAGCCAACCTGAAACCATGAAATAGAGAAATTCTACCAAATAAAGCCTCCTTAATCCAATTCTGTAATTTTAAAGGATTATTTCAACTAAAACTTTGAATATAGCATCAAATTCCCCAAACTGGTAATTCTCCTACCAAATTCCCTTCTGATCTATACTATACCTGAATCTGCATTTTTTTAATATTTATTTTTTAGTTGTAGTTGGACACAATACCATTATTTTATTGATTTATATGTGGTGCTGAGGATCGAACTCTGTATGTGCTAGGCAGGCCCACATGCAGCCCCAACCCCAGCCCCCCTCAATCTGCATTTTACTCTCGATTTATATGAAAACTCCCAGAACTTTACTTGGAAAATTTTCCAAGGACTATGATAATGCCAACTTTGTGCCCCAAATGACTTCTCCCCAGAACTCTACATGGGTGATATCCAAATTCTGAGGCTAGCTGCTACCTATATTCCATTTCATCAATAGTAGACTAAAGCTGGGCATGGTGGCACACACCTGTAATCCCAGCTAATTGGAAGGCTTAAGTAAGTTCAAAGTCAGCCTGGACAACTCAGCAAGAACCTCTCTCAAAAATAAAAATAAAAAGGCAAGAAATAATTAAAATCAGAGATAAAATCGAAACAAAAGAAACAATTGAAATGATTGACAAAATTAAAAGTTGGTTCTTTGAAAAAATAAATAAGATTGAAAGACCCTTAGACATGCTAATAAAGAAGAGAGAAAACCCAAATTACTAGCATACGTGATGAAAAAGGCTATATCACTACAGAAATACAAAGGATAATTATTTTTAAAAGTTATACTCTAATAAAATCCAAGATAGTGAAGACATCGATAAATTCCTAAAGTCATATGACCTGCCCAGATTGAGTCAGGAAGATATACACAACTTAAATAGACGAATATCAAGTGAAGAAATAGAAGAAGCCATCAAAAGATTACCAACCAAGGAAAGCCCAGGACCAGAAGGATATAAAACAGAGTTTTACAAGACCTTTAAAGAAGAACTAATACCAATAGTCTTCAATCTATTTCAGAAAACAGAAAAAGAGGGAGTACTTCCAAATTCATTCTACAAGGCCAATATCACTCTAATTCCAAAACGAGACAAAGACACTTCAAAGAAAAAAAACTTCAGACCAATATCTCTAATGAATATAGATGCAAAAATCCTCAATAAAATTCTGGCAAATTGAATACAAAAACACATCAAAAAGATTGTGCACCATGATCAAGTGGGATTCATCCCAGGGTGCAAGGGGGTCCAAGGGTGGCTGAACATATGAAAATCACATTAATAGACTTAAAGAACCATATGATCACCTCAATAGATGCAAAAAAAAAAAAAGCATTTGACAAAATTCAGCACCCTTTTGTGTTCAAACCACTAGAAAAACTAGGGATAACATGAACATATCTCAACATTGTAAAGGCTATCTACGCAAAGCCTCAGGCCAACATCATTCTAAACGGAGAAAAACTGAAGGCATGCATTCCCTCTAAAATCTGGAACAAGACAAGGATGCCCTCTTTCACCACTTCTATTCAACGTAGTTCTTGAAACACTGGCTAGAGCAATTAGATAGACAAAAGAAATTAAAGGAATAACTATAGGAATAACTATAGGAAAAGAAGATCTTAAACTAGCACTATTTGCAGACAATATGATTCTATACCTAGAAAACCCAAAAAACTCCAACAGAAAACTTCTAGAACTAGTAAATGAATTCAGCAAAGTAGGAAGATATAAAATCAACACCCATAAATCAAAGGCATTTCTGTGTATCAGTGACAAATCCTCTGAAAAGGAAATGAGAAAAAGTACCCCATCCACAATATCCTCAAAAAAAAACAAACCAAACCAAAACAAACAAACAAACAAAAAAAACTTGGGAATCAACTTAACGACAGAGGTGAAAGATCTACACAATGAAAACTGCAGAACCATGAAAAAGAAGACCATAGAAGATGGAAAGATCTACCTTGCTCCTGGATAGACAGAATTAATATTATCAAAATGACCATACTAACAAAAGCATTATACAGGTTCAATGTAATTCCAATCAAAATTCCAATGGCATTCTTCATGGAAATAGAAAAAGCAACCACGAAATTCATCTGGAAAAAGAAGAGACCCAGAATAGCTAAAGCAATCCTTAGTAGGAAGAGTGAAACAGGTGGTATCACTTTACCAGACCTTAAAGTATACTACAGAGCAACAGTAACAAAAATGGCATGGTACTAGCACCAAAACAGGATGGTAGACCAATTAGTACAGAATAGAGGACAGAGAGACTAACCCACAAAATTACAACTATCTTATATTAGACAAAGGTGCCAAAAGCATGCACTGGAGAAAAGATAGCATCTTCAACAAATGGTGCTGGGAAAACTAGAAATCCATATGCAACAAAATGAAATTGAATCCCTCTCTCTCACCATGCACAAAAGTTAACCCAAAATGGATCAAGGATCTAGGAATTAAACCAGAGACTCTGCATCTAATAGAAGAAAAAGTAGACCCTAATCTTCATCACATGGGGCCCTATAGGCCCCAACTTCCTTAATAAGACGCCTATAGCACAAGAATTAAAACTAAGAATCAACAAATGGGATACATTCAAACTAAAAAGTTTTTTCTCAGCAAAAGAAATAATCTATGAGGAAAAAAGGGAGCCAACATCTTGGGAGCAAATTTTTACCCCTCACACATCAGACAGAGCACTAATCTCTGGGGTATATAAAGAACTAAAAAAGCTAAGCACCAAAACAACAAATAACCCAATCAATAAATGGACCAAGGACCTGAACAGACACTGCTCAGAAGAGAATATACAATCAATCAACAATGCTCACCATCTCTAGCAATCAGAGAAATGCAAATCAAAACAACTCTAAGATACCATCTCACTCCAGTCAGAATGGTAGCCATTATGAAGACAAACAATAACAAGTGTTGGTGAGGATGTGGGGACAAAGGTACACTCAAACATTGCTGGTGGGACTGCAAATTGGTACAGCCAATTTGGAAAGCAGTATGGAGATTCCTTGGAAATCTGGGAATGGAATCACCATTTGACCCAGCTATTCCTCTTCTC